AGCCTGCTCTGGAAGCCACCAAAAAGGTGCTAGGAGATACTTTTGGATCGTGGGATGGGGAATGGATGCCTGACAACCTGTCCTTCCAACTCCATGTGGACAAACTGCTTGAATTCTGATCATTCCTTTATAATACAATGCGAGTAAATCAGTTTTCCTTTTAAACTAGTTTAATAAATAGTTTAATACTGTCGGACTGATCCCAGTTTTCCAAATGGAAGCGATATTTCTGTAAACGGTTGCAAATCAGCTCTTACTGCAGTGGAGGGATCAACATGTGTCTTTTGTACACATGCAATCAACTTTTTGTTAGGATGTGTCTAGTTATGATAAATAATTCAAAGTTCATTATCAGACGTGACCTTTTATTTTCGCAGGAAATATTTATTTTCGCTACAGGTTTGGGTTGAGTATCAAATAAATAAAGTCAATGGTTGTCTGAAGGTTTGAATTTTTTTTCTTTCTGAAGCGAAGAAAACAAACGGATTTTACTTTATCTTCCCAAGGGAGATACATTATCTCGGCAAGCCTTCTTTATCATAAACAACATAGAAAATCAATATTAAGTTTGTAAATCTAAGGGAATATTCTTTTAGGCTATACTTACTGTTTACAATAAAACACAGTGTACTATTTTACAGAGTGATGGTAACTGACTTGCTAATTCTTATATTAGGCAGCTGAAATCCAATGTATGTTTTTTTTCCCTATGCCCAGCAAAAGTTAACCCATGAATTATTGTGATTCATTAAAGTTCCATGTTACTAGAATATTTGGGCACTCCCCCTCCTGTTCCAATTCCCAAAGCATTCTTCATTAATATGCACTGAATTTTTGCAAGGGTCAAGGCAAAGGGGGAACTGCAAATTCCCCTCTTCATCTTTTGCTAGTGGTTGTTGGCATCAAAGCACAATGAGCCCCTTTTCCTTGAGAGAAAATCTATCTGAAAAGATATCCAAAAATGGATATCCTTCTTCTCCATGATAAGGGGAAAATGTATTTCCTCTCTTATATTTGAGGTCTCAGAGATGAGGGAACCCTCTCTATCTCCTCATTATTTTAAAACTAGAAATTTTATGCATTTATTGGCCTAGTTTACAATAAGGAAAGGCATATTCCATAATTTTTTATTTACAGGTAGCTTGAATCCTGTTCTTGTTGAAGAGAACGTTCTGTCCCGGATCATCTACAAAGAGCTAAAGCTAACCATTAGCAAAACCTTGCTTCCTCTCACCTCTTACATTTTTACGATTTCCTTCTCTCTTTTTCCCACTCCTTCTCTCCGTTCTCATTGAGTTACCAGGGGAAGGATTATTCTTAGCTTGGTCTGATCTTGAATATTTGCAGAAAAGATTTGAACTTAGCCTCAGGTCTGGATAAAACAAACCTCAGGCACAAGTCTGTTTCCTTTTCAAGTTCTTTGTTTTTACAATTCCAAAACTCTCTTTCCATCTTGGAAACCACAACCTTGTTCAAAGGGACACTAATAGATAATCAAGGTTGTGCAGATGTGGCTTGAAATAAACCTCCACCATTTTTTAAGAAAAGATGCCTATTGCAATGATTAAGCAGCTTGTTATTTGCTGAGTCAATGATTCCCAGGGCTCAGTTGTAATCACCCAAAGATTCTGACATTTCTTATTTCTGAAAAGTAGTCACACTAATGAATAGTTTACTAAACTGGATTTAAATCTGAATGAGAAGATATTGTCCACCAAATGCAAATCACGACAACTGCCATATTCGGACTACTTCATTAGCTTCAGGGCTGTAATACTGAAGTCTTATACACTGATTCAAAAATATCTAATAACTTGAAAATGAATAGTGTGGCAGGCCATGAAGTATAAAGGCACTGAATAAAACAGAGCTACATGCATGCAAAACAGCTGCGAAAAAGCCATTTCACTTTGATGACTTAGCTGAAAGCATTTTTCATTAACATTTTTCATTTCATTTCATCAATATTTGGTTTTATTACTGAACTGATATGTAATATTTTTTTCAAGATCATATCTAAAAGGATATAATCTAGGAATTTCAACCTATTGAGAGGTACAAAAATCCTGCTTTTCTCCTTCTCCTTTTTCGTAGCTGGGTAGAGAGATCTTTCTTTACATCTTTTTTTTTTTTTGCTTTCCTCTTTCTGCCTGGCACAATCTTTCTTGCCTTCACCTAGAAGAGATTTAACTTGCTTGCTTGTTGCCTTTGTCATGGTGAGACCCTTGCTTAGACTGGCTACACATAGCCCTTCTGTTAGTAAATCTCTGTTTTTCCCTTAGGCTCGACAGCCTCCTGGACTGCCTTTAAGTCTCACCTTGTGCCCAGAAAACTGTGGAATATAAGTAGCACTCTTCTGTCCTTTTACTGGGAAATGCACAAGTTGAGCTGACATGAGTTTCAGTGCTGCTTCCACCACGATGCTTCTCTTCCCAGAACACTTTACATGCCCTAAACTGTTTGCCTATCTGAGGCTTAGCGGCCAGGCCTTGCTACTCAGGATCCTCAGCAACTACAAAGTATTTGTGGTAAACCACAGAAAATTATTTGGAAGGCCACAGTCAGCTCTACTCATTCTGTTCTCTTCATTGTGACACATGAATCCCTTTTGCTGGCATTTTTGCAAGGCAACCTGGATGCTTCTTCTTCTTGGACACCTTGTAAGCCTAGCATTTTATTATACATTTCTAGAAATAAAATGCTACTTTGTCAACGTTATTTTTTTTTTAAGAGGGGATGTTTCAAAGTCTTGACTCAAATGTTTTAATATGCTACAAAAATATTCCACTAAACATGTCATCCTGTCTTAGAGTGAGTACATTCATTGAATCATCTCTAAATATTTATTCTGGTCATGGGGAACCTCTGGCCCATGGTGTTCCCCGGCTCACACTACATCCTCCCACCCACCAGCCCTACCTCCTCCCTTAGCCCCACACCTTCTACTGACCACTCCACCCACCTTCATCTCCTCAAAATCTACCTTACTGCTTTCTTCTTCACAATTGAGATTTATCTCCAAGAAATTAGGTTCTTCTTTCTTTTCAGGGATGAGAATATGGAGGTCATGTGGATGTGGAAAGGTATTTATGAATAGGAAAACAATGGAGATAGATGTAGACAAGTGTGAAAGTGTGCATAGGACAGTAGTGGGAAACTACACTGGCAGATATAAATGTGTTTGCAGAAATAACGAAGGAAAATGTTGTATGATATTAAGAGATACACATATGCATGTATCCCTCCTTCCCCAGCATAGGGTTCCCCAGAAGCTCTCAGGATGAGCAAATGGCTCTTAGACTGAAAAAAATTCCCCATCTGGAAGTATTCATATTGGCAGCTGCATTAAAGAAAAGTTATTTTCTAATCTTTTTTCCCTAGAAACTGTTCTGAATCCAGAAGATGAATGGGGAAAACAATAACTAATTATAGTACAATCGTATGCATGTTTACTCTGAACAAGTTCGATTTTTTTTTCTCCTCAGAAAACATATTGCTCCATTGAGGTAACTGGGTATTTAAAGGAGATGGTCTGTGTACATATACACAAAAATGTGTTTTCCTCATAAAATCTGACTCTCGCTTGGATATTAGGAAAACATATTGCCATTTGGGGCTCCATTCTCTCTAATCAATGCTAGACAGAGCACACAAATCATCTACAACGGCAGATTTTTTTTTCAATTCTAATAGAGAGTAAAAATCGCAGAACTGGTTAAATTTTTAAAGACTGGATAGTTCGACTTGTAATGAGTTACAGACTTGGGTAATAATAACTCACAATCCAATCAAGTAATTTTGTCCACACTCAGCAAAATAATTAATAACAGTAAGTTAGTTTTTGAAAATGCTCCCTTTTTTTGTTAAAAGTTTTTGGTGGGGGGGAGTATAAAAGTTCAGAAACATACCCATGATGACAGGAATGTATTCTTTTTTCTACCAATAGTGGACTGATGAAGAATGCAACTGCCTTGGTGATAAAGTTTCTTTTTTCCTCTCACAATATTTTAGATTTGGTGAGTCTATCTGCATTCAGTGCTGTGATAATACTGTCACATCTGAAAGCTACATGGGCTGAAATAATATTTCTGCTATGGTTCCCTATTGGTTGCACATCAAATATAAGAGCCAAAGTAAATGGCTTCAAAGAGGCGGGCTCTCCACTATTTTTTGAGAGCAAAACTTTAGCAGGTTATGTCACAAAGTGCACGGACATTATGTGTCCTAAAGAGCCGTGGTGGTGCAGTGGTTAGAATGCAGTACTACAGGCTAACTCACTGCTCACTCCAGGAGTTCGATCCTGACCAGCTCAAGTTGACTCAGCCTTCCATCCTTCCAAGATCAGTAAAAAGAGGACCCAGATTGTTGGGGACAAGATGCTGACTCTGTAAACCATGTAGAGAGGGCTGTAAAGCAGTGTGAAGCGGTATATAAGTCTAAGGGCTATTGCTATTGCTAATAGCCCCAATCAAGCTTTCTTTTCTGCAAAGAACACCAAAGAGCAATGCTCGCTTAGAAGCGCCTGACAGAAATAGAAAAGCAAGAGACAAACACACTGAGTAACACATTCCCCCAAGAATCTGGTTTCAACAATTACAAAGTTTTTGTCTGCTTGCGTGAGCCATAGATAGATTGCTAGTGGTGGCATAAAAGCACTGTGGATGTCTTTAGCAACAAAGAAGATCTTTTCCTAGGTACTGCTTGCTAGACCTCGGAGAGAAAGAGAGCCTTTCAAGTAATTTTTTTTGCAGAGACAACAGAAGCCTACTCCTTGGTATCCATAGAAGCAAAACAACTGATTCTGGTTTGAACTGTACTATACCCAAGCCAATAAATTTTTATTTGACTAAGAATTACTTTAGTAGCTTGTTATCTGTAAGCATGTTCTTCTTATTTGCTCAATACTTATTTGTTTGTGGGGAGAAAAAAATATTGTATCAGTAGCTCACATAGCCAAAACAGACTTTTTATAGAAGGAAAACAGTTCAGTTTACATTTACCTTCAGCACAGTGATATTCCATGCAAAACTCTCAATTGCTTTGCTGAGTTTTCTTCCTTTCAAGCCTTCCTTTGTTCCTAAGTTATGTAGTTCTTCATGGAGCTCCATGCCTAACAAAATATGTGACAAAGTAATTACAGACAATTATTGAAGGAAAGTAAATTTTTGAAAAGTTTTTATTATGATCCATGAAGTTTTACATATAATAGATAAACAATCTGGTGCTGGCAAAACCTGTGTGCCTTCAAACATAATCCTGATGAACAGCAGTTTCCCTGCCTAAGTTTTAAAAGCATATTTCAATAAAACAATAATTAATTTATAACCACTATGCTCCAAAATACCAAAAAATAGCACCATTTATTGCAGCAATACTTTAGGTCCCGCAACCTTGTAAGTAAGCAAGCAATCTACAAAGGTTGAATGGAAAGTAATGGCTCCAGCTCCATAACTTTAGTTTGAATGGGGATACTTGGATAAATGAAACAAGAAAATAATCCTTGGAACAAGCTTTCTTGTTGCCAATATTTACAGTACTACTCCACATAATCATCACCATTCTCTACATGATTCTGCCAACAATGGACAATGTTCTTAAAACCATAACAAAATAATTTTCTTCAACAAGGTCCTAATTGTCTTTTCCACCTCTTCATTTGAATCCAGCAGATGTTTGCAAAGGTATTTCTTCAATTTTGGGGAATGTAGAAGTTATATGCTGCTAATTCTGAGCTATTTGGTGGATAGGATAACATGATAAGATCAACTTTGCAATTGAAATGGCCTTTTGGGTTAAATGTGAGACCTAGCATTATTGTATTGCAAAAAAACCCAACCTTTCTTGTAGTTCCAAATTTGAATTATTTTCAATCATACCAAAGTTTTATGTGTGGCAATATAGCACTGAGTTGATAAGTGGTGCCAGGTTCAAGAAATCCATATGAGATATACATCTGCTTCCCCAAAAGACTATGACCATGAATTTTCCTGGGTTTTGATTTCCCCACTCCACCTCCAGTTAAAGCTTTGTGATTATATTCCATGGACTGAAGCTTCATTTCTGTGTCATAATAATGAGCCTGTGTTTTATGGCTATGACAATACATTGAAACAATTCTTCATCTTCCTTATCACACCATGACAGTAATTTTTGGCAAATTTCAATTTTTGAAACTTTTATCTCTACTCTTGGCATGCAAAGAACACATCTTGTTATTAACTTTCTAACACTGAAACACATCAATTTTGTGACCCATTTTCTGTGAAATGTCAAGCTGGACAGCAATTCCCTTTGAATGATATGTTGAATATCCTTAATCAAATTTGTTATATGAAATTTAATGGTTGATATCACGGGTTGATTCTTTTTTTCTTAATCACACGAAACAGTTCTTGGTTTACCTTCTTACATTTTTTGGACCAGCAATGCATGATATAATACAGTCAATACAGTCATCATAATTTCAGTGACAAGTTTCAATTGGAAGAACTTTTTCAGCAGCCAAAAAAATCCAATTATGGAATGCTACTTAAAGAGTACTCGCAAAAGGTTCATTTCATGAATATTGACTTTTTTTTTACAGTTTTCCACCAACTGAAGCAAAGAAGAAGATTCTAAAGAACATGTCAGATCTTTTAGGGTGTTAATAGAGCCATGTGTTGGCAACTTAAAACAATGGAAATATTCCTTTTCATTCAACCCACATAGTTTGCTTTCTGTTAATGTGACTGATCATGCTCATTATGGCAACTATTTATGAAACAGGTACATCTCCCATGGTAGCCATTTTGTGAGAGTGCTCGTGACCTTTTAAAATTCCAGATGTGGTTCTGATCCAAAAGACTATCCTGCTCCTGAACACAGAAATATCATATTCTGTTTTTTAAGGAAAATAACTTTAGGATTGACGTGATGGTGCTCTGCTGGATAAAAAAGGAGTCTTCTTTGAGACAAAATTAAATTCTTAAAGCCTGTATCCATGTGCCAATGTAATTTTCCTGGCAAATAGTTTCTTCCCTTTGTTTGACTTTTCCAATTAGCCTATATTTCTTAGTAGTTGCCCATCCAAGTACTAACCAGACAACCTTGCTTAGCTAGGCAAGAGTGATCAATACTCCCTCTTGCTGCGACATATTACTGTAGCCTGGAGAAGACATCATACATTCAATTAACATCTTTTCTTCATGAACCCTGTGAGAGCAAAGATTATGCCCAACATATCAAGAGCAGGACTAGAACTTTTGCCACTGTTGCAGTGATGTGGCAAAAGTTCAGCTCATTACTGTTTCCCATAAGAAGGCGATTTATTTGGGGGTAAAGCATGTGTTGTAGATGCACTTGCGAACTTTTTTTAATTAGACATTTTAGAGAAACTACAAAGAAAGATTAAAAAATAAGTAAAAAGCAAATGCAGCAAAATACAAATAAATAACAAATCTAAAATACAGTGCAAATTATGGTTTTACAATGAATCATTTATTAAATTATTAATTATAGGGTAGTTCATGCCATTTGAAAAAAACAGGAATTACTATAAAGCTTTAAACTGGGTAGCCACTTCCAATGAAAGAATCAAGCAATCTTTCCAGGAAAAACTGATGATATCCAGTAATCATATACAAAGCTACTTCAGGATATTTTGAAGAATGCAAGTTTTAGTAAAGTTTAATAAAAAAGTATCAGGGGTTGAAGTGGAATTCAACTTTTAAAATTTCTTTTTTTGGATTTGGGAATCTGAGGAGTTGGAATTTACATTCTTGAATGTAGGTCCCTAAGGACAGTTTCCCTGTTTCCCCATGTTTCTTCCTCTGCACAGCACTTGCTCTTTTCTTTTACTGTGTCTTTCTTTGCCAGTTTCTGAAAAAGGTAACTGTTTAGGAGAGTTACTATTGGCAGTGAAGAATATCAAGGCGTCAGAACAGCCACAGCCTAATTTGTAACAATCTGAATTGGAAGGGTGAAAGCTGATTTAAGGTTTGCATCTGTCAAGTATACCTTAAAGCAGGGGTCTTCAAACTTGGCCCTTTTATGACTTGTGGACTTCAACTCCCAGAATTCCTCAGCCAGCGTGCCTGACTGAGGAATTCTGGGAGTTGAAGTCCACAAGTCATAAAAGGGCCAGGTTTGAAGATCCCTGCCTTAAAGCAACAGCACTGATGTCTCTGATTTAAAGATATTTCTAAGCAGTGCTATGCACATGTCTGCCATGTTTTAAATCATCTCTTTCTCGTCAACTCTTGATCCTTCTGCACCCCTAACTTCTATTTGGGTTACTGTTTTATCCTACTCAAACACTGAGTGTCACAAAAGACATGCGGGTTGTCCCAAAGCTTCATGAAGAGTCATAGTCTCCATTTGCAGATCTGCCAGTCTCCCACATATTTATTTATTCTTGTTTATTTCCTTCTGAAAAAAATTAAAAGCTTAATTGCTGAGAACAAAATGAAAACAAGCAGTACTGCAAGCAATTACTTTTATCCAATGTATGCAGGGGTATGCTAAATACTGGGTTCACTAAAAATCAATTCAAGCCATAGTTATACTGTATAAACTGGGTCTTTTTAAACTGTTACAGTGATATTAATCTGGTTGATAAAATATAATTACAGTAAGTCCGTTTCTAACAAAGTAATCAGGCTTGTTATAGACACTTGTAAAGCTTAAATTAATGAAAATCTATTTAATTAAACACATGCTACTTTTTAATTAGAGTAATCTCTAACCCGGTTATGTGACTCAAAATGCACACATATATACACATAGCTTCTAGGAAGGAAAAAGGATTTTAACATTTTTAAAAGGCAGTCATATTTCTTGAGTAGCACATTGCTTTGTTGCAGATAAAAATGAAACTCTTTAAAATACTAATTCACTGACTAATTTTTCAGAATGACAATTCATGTTTCCACAAATTATACTAAGAAAAAATGTAGCTTACTTGGGTTCTCTTAACATTTCAATCCCCAACAAAGCATCTTCCAGGTGTGTTGGTTACTACAATTCTCAGAATTCCCAAGTCTGGGAAGTCAAACTTAGCATGCAATAGTGAACACAGCCACTGTCATTTTAATTGTTCATGGTTTGGTATGTTTTGTGAACTTGATCGAGCATTCATATAACATGGCTTAAAGCAATCAGTTTTATCTTTATACTTTTTATCTCTCTATGTATATTTTTATCCATATAAACTTGAGTGCTACTCTTGAAAGTTGCTTTATTTCTGCTTGTTTGATTGAAAAGAGAATGTTAATGGTAAGGGTGGATTGTGTGGAAGAATACAAACCATAGCCTAATTCCCTTCAAGATTTAGGAATTATGTCTCACTATTATTACACTTCACCATCTGGTTCTACTAATTACTGCACAATATCCTAAACAGGATCTTGTAATGAAATTTCACCACCTACAGTTATTTAGAAAATTGTAAAGGGGTGTTTAAACAACAGCTTAGTGCAGCACACATGAGTACAGTACAATACACTTCAGCAAGCTATTAGGATATGCTCTGTGTTCTTCTTTTTATTACCTGCATGGGCAGAACTAAGACTTCAAAAGCTTTACCACGTATTGTAGTTAAAGGGAGTGGGTTTGTTTGGTGCAACAAAAAAGGATTAATATTAACCACAAGCAATTTTAAAGAAACTCATTCCAAATTATTAGTGCTAGCTACAATTCCAGATCCAGATGACACCATGATTGACTAAAACTGAAAGGGAAAAAATCTGGCATTTTCCACCTGGTAATTGGAGAAAAGAGGAAGAGGTCTGCATGCCCAAGGCTTACTATGGTTTTTCTTCCATTCAGGAGTAGCAATGTGTACAGGACACCAGCAGATGATTTGGGACCCGAACATTAAACCATCAGTCAAAAACACATGTGAGATCTTAAAGAGTAAGCAGAAATTACTTCCATTTCACACAGGTAGACAAATGCAGAGCCATTACACTCATTTACCAATCCAGGGAGCATACTGATACTAAACCCAACCTTAAGAAAAGGATCAGCTTTATGTGAACTGTGCATTAATTGAAAAGCTCAGTACTGAACTTTCAGTCAGTTATGTATTGATTATTGTGCCTGTGCTGCAGAAAAACACAATGTTTTCTCACTCAGAATGTATAATTCCATTTTTCACTCACCTGACCTTAGATTTCAAATAGGAGTCATTCCCAGATGCCAGCAGTTGAACTTCTGAACTTCTCAGGACAAATTATAAAAACACTTACACTTTTTGAGAAATTTTCCACCCCACCTCAGCTCCAATTCTTTAACTATTACCATTGCAAGAAATTTAAAAATGTGCTATGAAAATTGTGATATAGAAATCAAATAAATTAATTCTCAAATCCAATTTTTTAAAATAATGTAATGCCTCAACATTATAAAATGTTTGGGCTCCTTATGATACATACAGTTCCTTGGACATAGATAAAATTTATTATAATACACACTAATCAAAGAGTGTTACCTGCTTTCTGACACTGAATGATTTTGTCGTATACAGTATCTGCTGTTTCTACAAGAAACTTGCTCTCTTGAATCATCTGTTAGAGAAAATCAAACAAGAAAATGTCAGTTTGATCATTTCTGTCACAACTATTTGATGTTCAATGTAACATAGCATGTCAAAAAGGTTGTTTTTTTTCATTTCTGTAAAATGTTTGCCATTCAATGCAAAGAGTGCTGATGAGAGAAATACAATAAACCTTTTTAATGTCAAGTAGACATTATCCTGACAATTAGGAGGAAATGCAACAAGTAATTAGCAGTAGGAATTGAAGGCTGGAGATAATTACAAAGCTATCTATCTCTTGAGCAATTCTAAATAAGTTGTACGTCAAGTTGCATGGGGAGTGGAATCTTCCATGCATGCTGAGCCCTCAGTATGGACCCCATATTAATGTTCTCCATATTAAGTAATCCTTCAGAGCGAATTTGGGAGGTGCTGTGCATCTCCAGCAAGGAAGAGACAAGTCCTATTCAGTAACAATCATCCACATGAGGATAAATGTAATACTTTGGGATTTGTTTCATCCAGATCCATGGGACTTGAAAGTAAGCCTTCATAATATTTCACACAAAAAAATGCATATTAACCAGTGCTCATATAATGTAACAAAGCCAGTATCACATCAGGCTGTTTCTATTTGCCCCCATTTTAAAAAGGATGTGCATGCATGTGCATGCATGTGCATGTACACCACACACACACACACACACACACACAGAGAGAGAGAGAGAGAGAGAGAGAGAGAGAGAGAGAGAGAGAGAGAGAGAGAGAGAGAGGGAGAGAGAATGAGAGAATTAGAATGTAATACCTCCAAAGAATTAAAGGCTACTAGACAATCATGCCCTGTTGGGTCATCATTTCAGATATATTTCCTTACAGAAAGAGAGAACTAGAATGACCAAAGTTGGGTGAACAAGCAGTGGGAGCAGGGGCTCTGACTTCCTGCCAGCTTCCCCACTGAGTCTGTGGAAATCTGGCAGGGATTGTGGGAATCCAGCTGAGAGCACTGGAAAGCTCCCCTGCTCTGCCTTCCTTCTTTCCTCCCTTTCCCTCCTCTTCCCAGCAGGCAAGTAGGTGGCTGCTGCTGGTGTGAGAGAGAGAGAGAGAGAGTGAGGGATTACAAGACTGGATGGGAAACTGTGGTGGAATATGGTCTGGATACTCAGGAGGGAGGGGCTGCATTTCAGCATCAAAGAGGCAGTAAAGCTTAGACAGTGTAGTTGGGAGAAAGCGTTAGGGGTCCTCCCTAGCAATTCTCAATGTATAGCTAAAGTGATGCAAATAGTTGCTTTAGTTTAGCAAGATTTCTGACTATAGATGAGGGACAATAAAGAAAATGGCTCAGAAGCAGTTCCACATGTCTTTCTTGGTTCTTGGGACCTTATAGAAACTGTCATGGACTGTTGAAAATGAAAATCACCTGACTGAAGCAGAAGCCAGTAGCACTGAAGCAGCCACAACTTTCAAATTTCAATCCCTTGGGAATTATGGCTCCCAGATTTTGGACACATTCTGTAAATTAGCCTATTTGAGGTACCTTGGTTAAAACCATGTTGCCCCATGAGGCACTGTTTTGGCCAATTAAAGGTCATGATAACAAGAGTTTTAGTAGTAGATAATCCTTTCTCTCTCTTTCTCTCTCTCTCTACACACACACACAGAAAGGGAGAGAGGGAACAAATCTTCCTTAGGAGAAAGCGGGGAATCTTGTAGCAGTTTGTCACTTTAAAAAAACGATACTGAATGGATGTCAAAATATTGTTACTTAATAGGAGAGCATATGGCTTCCAATAATTGTTATTACAACATAAAAGAAAGGAAGACAAAATAAAAGTGCAAAAATCAAGAAAGTGTCCTGGTGGAAGCATTACTAGACACCAAGATTTTTGCTCAATCACATTCCATACAACATTCTAGCAAGCACAAAAACAGTGTACACTCCCTGGGATTTTTTTTAAAGGCATTTGTGTTATGATTTTTTTTTTAAAAATATACATTTGAGTGGTAGGAAAATGCAGTATTTGTACAACATAACTGCAGCTTTCATGGGAAAAATTTGCAGCTCCTGCTCTTTCGTGCATATACAGGACAGCTGAAAAACAACGGGAAATAGCATTTATTTCTTGGCATTGAGCCCCTGAAATTTGAAAGCATAATTTCTGAGAGTTTGAGGAGCTACAAAAAAGGGTTTTCAGAGGCCAGTGGGCCCAGGCTACATGCTTGTATTTTCACACAACTCTGGTACAGTACAGTGTTGATCATGTTTATAATGCAGTCCAATGTTCTACACAATACATAACGTTGCAGTAAAGAGAGAAATACTGTATCGTGTCAACACATTTGTCTTTCTATCTCAGGATGATGTGCCATTTATGCACAGTCCCCTATATCTGCGAGAGAAGGAGGAGATCATATAGGCCAGACATGTCAAACGCAAGGCCCGGGGGCCGGATGTGGCCCATGACGTGGTTTCATGTGGCCCGCGAAGCCATCTTGGAAACAGTGAGGGAATGGCCCCCGTGGTCTTGGCCCCGGCCCAGGCCGCCTGGGAGCCAATGTACAATTTTGTGGTGGCCATCTATGCTGAAACGCATTCAGTCTTAGCTCCACAAGGCCGTCTGAAAACAGCAAGGGACCAGCCCCGCCGTGTTGGCCCTGCCCCCTGGGCGCGCGCTGGGGAGGTGTCACCCTTTGTGAGGAATGAAGAAATGCACCATCACCTGGAAGTGGCCAGCAAATGGCCCTCGCCTACCTCACATATCCGGCTTCATGGGCTCCGGGGGGAGGGGTTTCAGCAGGCAGTGGGGCGCTGTCCTCACAGCGCTAAGAGGCTGAGCCAGGCGGCGCGAATCCAAAAAGAAGCATGCCGCCACTCAGCCCCTAGCCTGCCCGATTTCAGCAGGTAGCAAGGTGCAAAGCTGGCGAGCTTCGCACTGCCCGGCTCAGCCTCTCGGCGCTGTGAGGAGAGCGCCCCGCTGCCTGCCGAAACCGGACAGGGTGGGGGCTAAGTGGCATCACGCTTCTTTTCGGATTCGCGCGGCCTGGCTCAGCCTCTCAGCACTGTGAGGAGAGCACCTCGCTGCCTGCTGAAACCAGGCAGGCTGGAGGCTGGACGGCATTGCGCAGGTAACGTCGACTCTCACGTTGTTCATGGCGTCTCCTCCCCCAAAGCCCACCAAGCCAGATACGTGAAGTAGGCGAGGGCCATGTGCTGGCCACTTCCAGGCGATGGTGCATTTCTTCATTCCTCACGAAGGGTGACACCTCCCCAGCTGCGTTTCTTGCCTGTTTTTCCTCCCTCCCTCATCTCAAATATTTTCCCACCACTCTGTTCTTAGGAAGGAAGGAAGGAAGGAAGGAAGGAAGGAAGGAAGGAAGGAAGGAAGGAAGGAAGGAAGGAAGGAAGGAAGGAAGGAAGGAGAGGGAGGGTCTGAGGGAAGTCCTACCTTAGTCCTGCCCTGTTGCCCTTTCACCATACCCTTGCCCCCTCCTCCTGGCCTATCCTGGGGGTCTCCCATCCTATTGCTAAGGAAGCTTTGGATACAAAGCCGAGTCTCCTCCCATGGAGAGGGAGTGGGCCTCCCTCTGACTTTGCCCTCATACCCATCATGAGCAACCTGGCTAAGGAGAGCAAGCACAGCAGCAGCAGCCTTGAGGAGATAAGTGCAGCTGGGCATCCCGTTGGGGAAGTGGGGCTGGGCGTGGTGCCGTGGGTGCTTGAGGGCTGAGCTGGGCATTTGACCTCTGCTGCCCAGGGCTCCAGGAAGCCCGCGGCACCATCCAGCGCCCCCCGCATGGCCTGAGAGGAACAGTGAAGCTCCTCCAGTAGACCATGCCTAGGCACTTGCCCTGGTCCCACCCCCTTCTGCCAGAGACCCTCAGATCTGTCCCACTCCTGCCCAGGCCCCCACAGGCACCCTTGATGTGAACGATGAAGAGCTGGCCATGCCCTCCCAGTAGGCCATACCCACTCCAGCCACGCCCACCCAGTAGACCACGCCCACCCTGGCCACACCTATCCGCCCCCCCAAGGACAACCACAATGCTGATGTGGCCCTCAATGAAATTGAGTTTGACACCCCTGATATAGGTCATTTTAGATTCTCTCTTTTGTAAAGCCTGTTTTTAATTATTCATGCATGAATTTAATTTAAAATATATGATGGCATCATTCAGGAACTTTCACGGCAGAGTATAACAATCACTTCACTGCTATAATACATTATTTCTACTTTTAAAATGTACATGCTGTCCTTTAAAACAATATTTTTCCAAAGCTGCATCTAAACACTACGTTAACTTAAAAATAATGGCTAAAATATACAGCATACATGCAACAGAAGTAGAGGCAGAAGATATAAATTAGTTAAAAAACTATATTCTGGCTTAAACATTAATGTTTTAATAGATTAAATAAATACTATATTTTAAATAAATAAAAGATTAAAAGAGTTGGAAGGGGCCTTGGAGGTCTTCTACTCCAACCCCCCCTTTCAGCTAGATAAGCAAATCTTAAAATAAAAATGTTGCCCAGTCATTTCCAAATAACCCCATGTCATCTACAATGATCTCAAAGAAAAAAAAAGAAAAACAAATTATTTTCTTTCCATTTTGGAACAAAGAGGAGGATGGGATTTTGATGATTAGATTTTTATCCCACCTATTACTTCTCTCTCTCTCTCTCTCTCTCTCTCTCTCTCTCTCTCTCTCTCTCTCTCTCTCTCTCTCTGTGTGTGTGTGTGTGTGTGTGTGTGTTTGTCTGTGTGCTTGTGTGTGTGGTGAGTAGCTCTAATACTCCTGCCACCTATTTTCCCCAAAACAGCAACCCTGTGAGGTAGGATGACAAATAGTTCTATAGCTTTGAGAATATTCTCATTAATACAAGTTGCATTACTATATTCAAATAGACATAATTTTGGAAATTGCAATGAAATAAAAATTGTAAAAACAAAACAAAAACCCAACTCTAATAAAACAGATCCGACCAGTATAGGGAGAAACTGCAGGACAAGTGAGAGAGCAATTATGTTCCAG